ACCTCGCCGCACGCAAGGGTGCTTCCCAGATCATCGCATCATGGCACGACTGGAGCGGAAACATGAAGTGGAACGGGCCCGTGGTCAAGGAGAAGTTCGCGATCGCCGAGCGGGTGGGTGATATCGTAAAGATTGTGGGCAAGGCCACCTCAATCGAGGACAACTTTATGCTCCGGTCGTTTGCTGCGTCGCATACCTCCAAGCCGTTCATCGGGATCAACATGGGCGCCGAGGGCCAGCTCTCGCGTGTGCTCAATACCGCGTTTACTCCTGTGTCTCACCCGCTCCTCCCGACTCGCGCCGCGCCGGGACAAATGTCCGTGCAAGACATCCACACCGCGTTGCACCTCAACGGCCAGCTCCCCGCTCAAAAATACTATCTCTTTGGCGCGCCCGTCGCCCACTCCATGTCGCCGTTCCTGCACAACACCGGGTTCGAGAAGCTCGGTCTCCCGCACCAGTACAGCATCTTCGAGACCCCGACGGTGACCGAGGAAGTCAAGGCCGCACTTGCTGACCCCGACTTTGGCGGCGCGAGCGTCACGATCCCGCTCAAGCTCGACATCATTCCTCTCCTGCACGAAGTCTCGCCCGAGGCCAAGGCGATTGGCGCCGTGAACACGATCATCCCGCGGAAGCGCGCAGACGGCTCGACGCTCTTGTTTGGTACCAACACTGACTGGCGTGCGATCCGCGACCTAGCGCAGAACAACCTAGTCGTCGGAATCACTCCCGAGACCACTGCGCTCGTCCTTGGTGCGGGCGGAACAGCACGTGCGGCACTCTTTGCGCTCAATAGCCTCGGTATCCAGACGATCTACCTGTTCAACCGAACTCGTGCGGCGGCCCAGGCGCTGGCTGATACATTCCCGACGTTCGGAATCGTGCCCCTCGACTCGCTTTCTTCGTTCCCCAAGGCGGCGCCAACCGTCGTCGTCTCTGCGATCCCGGCAACAGGTACGACAACCGAGCAGGGGACCGGCGCAGCGGGCGTGTACCTCCCTCCGTCGCTCTTCAGCTCTCCTTCGGGTGTCGTAGTCGAGATGGCCTACAAGCCCGCCGTAACACCTGTGCTCGGTCTCGCGGCCAAGGCCAGTGGCTGGGTCGGCGTGCGAGGAGTCGATATCCTTTGCGAGCAGGGCTTCTACCAGTTCGAGGCGTGGACAGGGCGCAAGGCGCCAAGGGCAGCAATGAAGGCCAAGGTGATTTCGCTGTACGATCAGCAGTAGTGGATGGCGATTCGATTTTTAGACGGGCTTGTCCTGATGTATGCTCTATTTGTTGTTGGATTTTCGTGAAACGTTGAATACAGTTTAATTCTATGCGCTTTCATCTTCGATCCTGCATATGCGATTCCAGAAGCAAGTGGCGATCGAGCGCAGGTGCCGATATGGAGACTGCTGAGCGTCCGGTGAGTTGATGTTCCTATCATTCGTCTCCTGGCCACTCTATGCGATGCGGTTCTCGGCAGGCGCTCATCGCCGAAGCAAGGCTCATCGTAATTTGCAAAATAATTTCTTAAGCGCCAAGCATCCTTGAAAAGTTTCGAATGAAATAGCGAGCACGCAAGAGCGTATCCTATCCAAGAGAATGAGATTCGATTGACCATAAGTAGAGTGCCAGCGCAATCGCCACTTCAAGATGCACGAATAGGTGTATGCGGTTGTATTGAGTTTTCAGCTCATCAGCCTTCATTTGTCTTTGTGTACATCACAAGGACCGCTGAATATCCTACACGCATGTCGGACCGATCCAACGACCGCACGGGCTATAGCATAACCCCTAGAGCACACGCCATCATCAAGCCACATGTACACGATACGATGATCGAAAAAAAGAGTTGGCGCGAGTGCGGGGGAACACATGATCCACACAGCTCAAAATCTCTAATCCTGCACCAATACCCGAGCTAACCCCTGTCCGGCAATCGAACAAACTCTGCTGGAGTCAGGTCCGGGAGGGATATGGCCGCAGCCGAGCCTGTAGTGGTATTGGTACAAAGAAGGACAAAGACAATAACGGCGGGTGGGGGCTGCATCGGATGCGCGCTGGATCGGACGTGTGCGGTATCTGGGTCGCGAGGGCGAAGCCTTATGAAATGATGAGGAGATGCATTTGGGTTGCTGAGTTGAACGTCTCGGGTTCCGTCGAGGGGTGGGAAGTGTTGTGTCAGGCGGCGGACGTGTGCGCTCTGGATTTCGCGCCTGCTGAACCTATTTGAAGTCACAAGTGGTATGTCAGCTAAACGGAGCTCGATTGGGTATATTACGTCTAGCACACCACCCCAATAATTATGGTCCAGCCCTCGAAAATGGTCTAGAGTGGTTTTTGTTCAGCCCGGAGCTTGACCCTTGGTATCATTGTAGGTTACATCGACGGGCAGAACGGGTCCGTGCTGTGGCGGTCTGCTCATGGCAGGAGGTGTTGCCGGTTGACAAGGGAGCAGAACCCAATACGCCGCCGTTTTATTGCAAAGCACGTCCAACGTCGGAAAAGTGTCGGAACCACCAGCTCGAAAACATGCTGTCATTCTCGGCAGCGACGTGGACGTTTCAGCCGATTTCATGCGCCCGCCCAAAGCCAACAACGGTATCTAGATCGAGCAATTCGAACATCGTGCTCTTCGCCGGTTCCGCAATCCCGCTGTTTGTGCTCGGGATATGTTGGAATTCGTGCAGAAAAGCGGCCAGTTATCTAGACGCCTGGCCTAATGCAGCTAGACTTCGGCAGCTCCCTTGAGAAGACCGTCAATGGTTTCCAACGACGAAGACTGGCGCCACGTGCGAGCCTGGCTGGGACTCGGGCGGGCGATGGGCGACTGGGCGAGGGCAGCGGCGATGAGTGAGTAGCGCCCGATCGCTGCGAGGCGAGATCAAAGTTGCCGTATGTGGTGGATACTTCCTGCTAGGGATTCCGTGCGGGCGTAGGCTAGCATCGGGGCATCGTGATCAGGATTGATGGCGTTTGGTGCGATCTGCGGCGAAGGCTCGATCCCGCCCTCCAGGATCCACTGCCGTTTTCAGAAGTGCCAACGCTCAAAGTCCTTTTATTCCCCGGTTGCCGCAACTTTTCTCTGGTTCCCCATCTCCTATCCAACATGAGCCACACACAGATCTCTGTCCTCGGCCTCTCCATCTCCACCGCTGTCTCGCCAAAGAGCAGCATGAGCGGCAAGAGTGCCCGGAGCAGCAAGTCGCGCACGAGCAGTGCCTACTCCGACTCGAGCGCGTCCTCTGCCTCTGAGGCCTCTGATTCAGACGGCCCCGCCGCTTACCACACCAATCTCGCCAGCCTCCTCCCAACACTCAATCTTCCCCCGCCGCTCACTGGCATGTCGCGGCTGCGTGCAGTCGCGGTGCGCCAGTGGGTAGGGCACCTCGATATTCTGGGAGTCCTCGCCAAGGTTGTAATGCGCCCTCACCCCGTTATCAACCTCGGCCCCATTGGTGAGGCCACGTTCATTATGACGCTACCCCCGCGCCCGGTTATCTAAACGAGTACTGACGTCAGTGATTCTTTGCCTAGACCATACTGCCTCTTGTGTGATTGTGGATCTCGACCTTCCCGACCGCCCCTTGATATGGGCTTCCGAGTCGTTCTGTCAAATGTCGGGCTACGCCCTGGAGGACATTCGGGGCCGCAACCTCAGGTTCATGCAGGCACCGGGTGGAGAGGCCTTGGTCTCTGACGCATCTCGCGCCCTCAAAGAGTCCAATGAGCGCATGTCTCCAGCCGTAGGCTCGAAACCGAAATCGCCGAGACACGCTTCGTCACCCCGGTCGCCACAGTCCAGACCCGGCCCCTCGACCATTGGGGGTCCTTCGTCCACAGATTCTTCCTCTTCGACCGAGACCGTTGATGCCACGCCCACGCCTGTGCCAACACCCAAACCCACGCACGCGTATATCCCTCCACCAGACTCACACGTCCCCGCCGGCTCGGCTCGGAAGCACACCGACCAGGCCACGGTCGACACCATCCGCGCCAAGCTCGACGCAAACGAGGAGATCCAAGCCACCCTGCTCAACTATCGTTGCGACGGCACGCCATTTTGGAACTATCTGAGCATTGTCCCAGTTAGAGAGGGCGGCGAGGGATCAAGATTCAGGTGAGATTGACCTGTTCTGTTTGGCTCGTGTTTCTCCTTCGGGACCGATGGCCCATCCATCTCGGCTGCACGTTGCCACTCGCTCCTTCACCCACCATCCAATCCGTTTCTCACACTCCTTCTCTAGATACCACGTCGGGATCATGGTCGATCTCGTCCAACAACCTCGGGCGATTATGCAGACCATGCAGGCCGGCTTTTACGTCCGCTCAACACCCTAATCGCGTGCATCCACTCGTCTGCACAACCCCCACTCGTGGCTCGAATTGATTCCGCATGCCACTCGACGCTAGGGCGGACACGCCCGGTCTATCCTGTGTTATCGGGATGCAGTACCCCACCTGCGCGCGCCTGTCGCTCTTGTGAGGTCCCAGATGTTATCTTATGTTGCTGTGCTTATTCCCCCTTTCTTCGTTTCTCGCATCATGTGTACAATACGCAAGAGTAATCCTGTATGTTAGTTGTTCGCTGTATGATATTGTATATACCCTATACTCTTTACGAAAAGATAAAATCTGATAGAAATACATTTATAATTTCTCTTTTTGGTGTCCACTGTTGCGGGGAACGACACCGATCACACGAGGAAGATTGCAACGGGCATGTAGTGTAGGGGTTATCGCGCCTCATTCGCATGAGTGATTTGAGGAGGTCTCCGGTTCAATTCCGGACTTGTCCACTTTTTGTCTGCTCCACCAGGCATCATCGGCCAGCTGCGAGATTGTAGATCCATCTTTTTGCGTGCAAGTTGCAGGCATGGAGCCTCTGCTTCTTTGAGTCTCTGAGCAAAATAATTTGACCCAGATTTTTTGAGCAACTCTTTGATCATTCCTTGCCAACTAAACCAAGGAGCTGCTGAAGTTTGGAGCTGAGTAAAGAGATTAAAATGTAAAGGCCGTGCCCGGGTTCGAACCGGGGTTACGAGAATGAGGATTACGTAATCAAAATCTCGAGTGATAAACCACTACACTACACAGCCTGCTGGATTGTCCGCACCACAATCTCCAGAATCTCTGTGTCACTTTGGACAGTCGGACTATCTCAGGCGTGCGCGGTGTCTAAAGGCCGGGTCGGATGGGCATTCAGTCGTGGGAGCCTCTGGCTGGCTGCACTGCCTATTATTCAGTCGGTCTCCACCGGTCTGCTGACTCTCAAGTTCCGGCCTGCGCTTCTTGGGCGTCTTGAATTGAAACCACTATTCTAATCAAAAGAAACATGATTATATGCTACTAGAAATACATTCAAACAACACAAATAGGCCTAGGCTCGAGAAAACAGCGCATACAGAGCAACAGCTGCGACACCAGCGAGAGCTACCGGCAAGGCAGGATGAACGTTGGGGGGTAGTATGCTTTTAGGACCGGTCGCGATATAGTGCCGCGCGAACAGGTCGTTTTGGATCCACATGACCTTGTTGATCGCGAGGAGCGTTGCCGTTTTGGTCTCTTCTGGAAGATCTTGGGCCATGACCGCCGAGGTGAGCATGCTCTGGACGTAGCCGAGGAGCTGAATGTGCAGTATGCGTGAGCAAACGAAACGAGATGATGAGAGACGTCACTTACGATTGCGCAATGTACGTCTGGAAGCGTGGAGTAGGCGTTTAGAGTTCTATCAGCAGTGGTTTATGGAATCACTTACAGTCGACGTTTAGGGGAGTCTTCTTTTCGCGATGCTTAAACCCAGCTACGCCCGTATGCATGATTCCCACTCGATCAAGATACTCAAAGGTCTACGATAGATAGCGTTTTTTTAGTCTACTGCATCGATATGAAGCTACTTGTTGCGTACCTTGGGGTCGTTGTAGTCTGCCGTAAAGATCTTGACCACCCATACTTTCAAAAAGTCCTTCCTGGCGTGACGTCAACACGACACAGCGATAAACACAGACAACGGAACACACCTGAACTTGATCTGCTCCGAGTCGTGCGTAATGTCTTCCAATCGCTGACTCAGTTTCCCCTCGAATCCCGAGTTGCGGACGAGGAAAGAGGCACGGGTGATGTCATAGGCAAACAGTTTTTGGTCTGTTATGGCGAACCGGCGGCAGAGGCGGGACAATTCAAAGTCAGCGATCGACCCGGCGGCAGCTGTAGGCTCCACTCACAGACAGCGTCGACAGCAGCTCCGACGAGACCCTTGACGATCGGAGCGGCACCGTGCAAAGCTTCGCTGTCCTCGGGCCCGAATTCAATAAAGTCGGTGAGGTATTTTACACGAGCTTGGAGGTCGGTGTTGATGACGTTGATGTCGACGTGCTGCATGTTGACGAGGAGTGTAGACTGGTTGTGTTGAGCAAGAGGAACAAGTGAAGTGAGGAGGACTCAGCAGCGGTCATTTATACCACGCAATTTTACTCAATGTTCTATTGAATGGCAATGCGGCCTGGCCTTCCAAGTGGCCGCGGCGTGAGACTGGCCAATGAACTGCATCCTAAAGGGCAGCCGCAGGGCCGGCCCCGAATGCAGGCGGGCTGCAGGCGGATATTGCGTAGAATCAGGCAACGCCGATGTCAAAACCCGTTGATGGGGGAAGCCGGAAGCCGGACTTTTGAGCCAAAGGCGTCATCTGGTTTGGTTCAGCCAATTGGAACTCGGCACAAAGCAAAAGTTTCCTTTCACGGACTCTCAATGCTTACGGAACGGGCCGGATAGGGCGGAAGGGAAATCCGTCTGACTCTTGCCTAGAACTAATCTCCATTTTGGGCGATTGCTGACCAAGCCTTTGATGACAAGTGATCGACGGCTGGCAAGCGCCCTATGGAGCTTAGCACAATTGTCCTAGTAGACTTACGATGGGTCACCGCACCATAACTCACTAGCATGTAGACTACAGTCACCTAATAGAAATTGAAGCCAGACACGAGTTTGCTTAGCACGCACTCTTAGATGTGCGAAATTATTTCTGTCTGATTTACGGTGAGGTGCACGATTTACTAGGAAAAGGTAACGCCGATGTTAACGCCGACGCTCATTCTTTACCTCTCCCGACGATTGTCGCGTCCAGTCCTCTCGCTCTCGCACTTTGGGACTCACTGTATGCAGCACAATACTAGGCCAAAACCCTCTGGCGATGCGTCCGCGCGCTCAGCGGGGCAAAATTCGGGTTCTGGACATTGCGCTCAGCCTCAGGCGCGTGTAGACGAGCCTGCAGCTCCTTCTCCGCAACAGAAGCTTCACGCCGACTCTCTACAAGTACTTATGCTCTTGAATAATCTTAGGATAACTATTGGGACTTTGAATCACGCTATATTCTATGGAAACCCCGAGTCTTGTGCTAACTTGACGATGCAAGAGGCTCGTAAGAGTGTTATTAGCTCTAGTCTTTTCTCTGAGTTTCTGCAGAACTTGTGGGAGCCGCCAAGAGCGCCCACTGGTAGAGGAAATGCTTCAAACATTGGACGCAACGCCTTCCTCACCTCTGCGCCGTCTACAGTGCGATGTATTTGGGGAGGAGCTCTTGTCGTTCTCAGAGTCTTACGCAGTACCTCAAGAAGATCTAGCCAAGCCCGAAGAACTTGCCAAGGTTGATACTTTGTATGTAGATATGCGGTCGAGCTTCAATTACCTGTATAAAACTTTGCTGGTGCTCACTCGCGACGATGAGGTGCCTGAGGAAGAAGAGGGGGGCACGGGGGAGCTTGAGGAGGCGCTTGATGGATACAAGTCCTGCTGAATCTGCGGGGGCCACCCCGTCACTAGTCAACTCGGCCTCTCTCAATTCGGAATGCCGACCGGAGGGCAGGTGAATTGTGGTTTGCTTGGCCTGGTGCCCGGGTCATGCTGGAGTTGTGGGGAGTGATGCGACGGATTTGGCGGCTAGGGGCGCATCGAATGGCATGGTGATGCGTAGCGCACTCCTCCCGAGGACGGTTGCCGAGTGTAAAACGAAAAAACCCCCGACGATGGAGAAGAAGCAGACGAAGACACGAAATGTTGCGTTGGCACGCGAGCACTGGGACCACACCGCAGCGGGAATCAAATATCGAGCCTTGCGCACACATTCCTGGAAAGAATCTGAAAGCTCCTACGCGCGAGAGCTACCCTCCTATTTTAACTCACAACCAGCCACGGCCCCTCTACTCCCACCTCTTCCGGCTACGAGAAAAAGATCAGTATGCTATCAAACCCCACCCACACTTTGTAGATAGATGTGTAGTGCAATAGCTTGATCTTAATATTATTATAGGGCACATTTATGGCTATCGCTTCATTAGCCTATCGATCGAATTTACTAAGCTTCTATACTCGCGCTAGACACACTAGCAAGGCAATGATCTCGCTTCTCCGCCCGGCAGGTATGATCTTGAGTAAATCTTGCACTGAGCAGGCTGTCAAATACATTAGCGACCGAAAGCATGCAGAAGCGGTTGCTATCGCCGCGACCCGCCCTATGCTACAAGCCGGCCTAGAAGACGTCTGCCGTTTTTGATGCTATGGTACTGGAGGTGAAGGCAGGCTTTAGAGTACTCAGGTGAATGACGTTGGGATAGCGTCATACGGAGCAATCCTAGCTATCAATATTTTACAGCGCATACAGTGAGTAGACATACCAGTTGATGCTCTTGGAGTGACGTGGGATGGGATTGTGAGCTGAACCGATGGAAACAATTCCACCTTGACCTTGAGACCAGTCCGGATGGACACTTGAATCTGAAAGGCGTAGTCCGCATTTTGAATGAGATCATCATATTTACTTTCTTGTGTGAAATTTGCGGGCCTTAGAGATAAGATACCTCTCGCCTACGCAAGAACTTCAGCAAGTCATAGTTTCACAACCATCCATTAACATGAAGGCGGAAGTGCTTGTTGTGCGACACATAAATGCTTCACAAACAGCTATAAGATCAACGTTGACATAACTTTATTCTAGAAACTAAAGCCAGGATGCTATTGTATTCAATTCACAATACACGAGTGTGAGCATGGTCTATACTCCTACTGTACAACTCATTCGACCCTCCGATCAAGTCAACGCAGCGTGCTAGGCGAGAAAAAGAAAGGAAGTGTTAGTGCCGTTTATATGCGCCAACACGTCAAACAGATCCCTCACCAGTCCTCACGCAATAGGCAGCGCCCTGAAGTCTTAGGTCAACAAGAGTCTCATCCCATCAATCACCATGGAGAGGTTCTTTTCCGTGCTGCCCAACGCGAAAATGACGTGATAGATGTACAAGG